AGGTTGCCCAGAGAGGTGGTGGATGCCCCATCCCTGGAAACATTCAAGGTCAGGTTGGATGGGGGCTCTGAGCAACCTGGTCTAGTTGAAGATGTCCCTGCCCACGGCAGGGGGGTTGGACTAGATGACCTTTAGGGGTCCCTTCCAACCCAAACTATTCTATGATTCTATAAAATGCCAGAACTGCCTGATCAAAGCCAGAGCAGATGGGCCATGGATTTTCATATGGTTTTCAGCTCTTTAAAGGTAGATGCTAGCCTGAAAAGGGACTGACTTCCCATCAGAGGACCATGCAGAGGCCATATAACCCAACACTGCTTCTCAGCACTGACAGCAAATGGATTATAGGGGACAGATAAAAAAAATCATCGAACCAACCTTCTCCTCCAGCATCCCTCAGGTGGAGTCAATAGAGCATTTCTGAACTTACACCAGTGAAACCAAGAGGTAGATTTAGCCCATCACTGTACAGAAGGTCTAATGGCAAATTGCTTGTCATCTAATTTCAGACATGTGATCAGAAAATGTTTAACATAAGGTTTGCAATATATTAACCACACTCCCATTAGCAGTGGAACAATCCATTACTAATATCCCTCCATCCTCAGGCAGCACCTCCTCCTGAAAGCACACTGCCAAGATTTGAGATGACCAGGGCCCCAGTTTCCAGGCCCTTCAGGCAGGTTACAAGAAAGCAAATTAACAGGTTGAAACCCTGACTATTTGCTTCTGAAATAAGGTCACTGAGAATCTTGTAAGTCCCTAACTAGCTGGCTTGCTATCAGCTGAAAGACATTTCAAGAACATTAGCATTGGTGCCAAAAATATCTGGGCTTGTCCCTGCGGCAAAATAGCAGCAGCAGAAGGAGGCTGAGGATAAAATGTCAGTGTCTGAATAAGCAGAGTGATGGGTGGAGCTTAACTGTTGAGATCTTGCTTATTGGGGTACCTCCACTGCCAGGAACAGTAAAACAGCACTGGGTAGGAGGGGATGTGCCTCAATGGCAGAACATGGGTGAATGCACCTTTGGGAAATCACTGCTTTGCAAGTCCCTGTAGACCTCCAAGAACAGTTCAAAAAGGTCCAACAAAAGAGCTGCAAAGAGGTTTTCCTGCCAAGACAGGAAAACAAGGCTAGTCATACTCACCCCATACCACTCTGTGGAGGGCCAGAGCTCACACTCTTTGTCACCACGACACTCCATCAGCTGAAGACCTCTGACAATATGTCTAAGCAAACAGCAGCAAAGATGGCTTGAAATAAATCTCTAGTATGTCCAGTCCCCTACAAAAGATGCAACTCCACCAAAACAAAATGCTTGGCAACATCACACCCACTTCACCGATGTTTTTCCTCTACAGGAAAATCTTTTCCCATCTCTAGTCTCTCATTTCAGCCTTTTCAGAAGGAGAGACTTCTGTTTTTCTGCAGTGAATTAACTGCTGTACAATGAAATCCAGCAATTATAACAAAATTAATACCCCCAAGCTTCAGTGTAAACCCAACCGAAGAAAAGCTTTGGACTGATGTGGAATAAGATATCTCAGAACCTTCCTTCATGGCTTTCACAATTTGTTTTTTGGATTTATTTTCTAAATTAAGCATCCTGAAACCTCCATGCCAAGTCTTGGTGCTTTTTCTCCCAGAGTCCTCTTGGGCTGGCATATCACTGGGGTGAGGCAGGTGCTCTGCTCCTGGTCCATGTGAACACAGACCAGCTCTGACTGTTCTTTTCAAACACAGCAACATTTCTGACTCCTAAAATTCATGTCACCATGCCACTGTCCTAAGGGGGGGGAAGACACATTGAAATATATGCAGATCCTGGGTACTAGCTTCTGGTTAATACCCTCACTCCGCATATGGATGCACATAGATGCAGATTGTGTAATAGCTTTGAAAAATCATCCAGGCCCTCTGGAGACAGTGCCATCTTGAATCCATTAGCTGTGTTATGAATAAAAGAATGAAGAAAAGCCAATTTTTTTTTCTGACTATGTGGTGAAGGCAGAGGAGAGAGACATATAACAGCAGAGAGGTGGAACACGACTCCGCAGATGACACCAGCATCCCAAGTGTGCCCCGTGACACTGGTTAGTCTTGGTGGAGCTATGCACGACCAAGAGGTGCCCAAGTCCAGACCTGGAGGCTGCCGTTGCCCAAGCATGTTTATTTTAGTTCTGCTTGCATGCATGTGTGTTCCCAGCGGGAGGGGATGTAAATGGGTCCAGCCATCCCTGCCCAGCCCTCCATCCTCGGGCATGTGCCAAAACTGTTCTGCTCACACTAGCACGAGGTCACATTTCTTGGCAGAGAGCTCAGCTCCTTCTCCCCTCTCCCTTCCCCCATGCTCCTGGTAAAATATGAAAACAGCCTGCCACCTGCCATTTGCCTGGCCTGTTTCTCTCTGTCTGCCAAAAATTAGCAACATGCCCCAAAATATAATTGGAAACACTGCACTGCACTGCAGGGGTCCCATTTCTGTTGCATAGAAGAGGCTTGAAAAAAAGCCAATTTAATTTCTAGATTCCCCGGGCTGCATATAGCTGCTAAGTGGGGAGGTAAAAAAAGTCACTTTTATCAGGCCAATTCCTATTAGTAGATTCAGATCTTTTAACATGCCATGCCGTAGGAATCAGCGAGCTGTCATTGCAAGCAGATTTAGGGCATTGTTTCTTGGAATTAGAGTCGCGTGGGAGGTCAAAAGTTAGAAGCCAGCATTCCCAAACTTCAGAGCTGAGAGCCTGGGTGCACACAGTGGAGCTGGGGGTGGCAGCGGATTTGTGAAGGCTGACATTAACCCCGGGAAGCAAACTGCCCCATTCCCCCTCCTCCCCAGCAGATCTTGTGCAAGTCCCTGGAGGATCCTTGCAGGAGGCAGTTGGAGATGAGTCCAGGGCTCTGTCGGAGCTTCGCTGCTATTGCAGCAGCTGTGGCTTCAACTCCCATTCAAGTTCCTTTAGGGAAACAGCTTTGAGAAGTGCTGTGCAGCTGAGGGAAGGCTTCCACACCTCCTGTGCTCAGGGCAGCTCTACCTGCAGAGCATACTGACCACCAAGGCTCCCAGGTCCACAGACCATGGGCCAGCCCTGCAAAGCTAGCAGTTATCTCCCTTTTGCAGAAAAGGGGTGGAACAGGAGATCAAGAAAATATAGGGCACCTCATTCATGCCACACTTTGGCAGAGAGCTTGGCCAGCAGATTTCTGAAACTGAAAAGCAACATTTCACCCAAAAGAGCTGTTTACGTTGTCAGGGTTGACTTGCCAGACTTATGAAAGTGCTGTGCCAGATTGGCTTATTAGCTTCCTCCCTCAAAATCCTCAGGGTCTGCTCCTTTGTTAGAGGGTGTCTGCATCCACCATGCAATGGACCTGTGCTAAAAACCAGGTCTCCTTGAGGAGACTGGCACACACAGGCACAGGGAACTCTGCAACTCTCCCAGCAATAAAAAGCCCCGCTGGAGGGTTTCAGCTCTCAACAAGGGACAACAGTTGAGAATATACAACTAGGCAGTGAGCATGTCACCCACCCCCAGGAGTTACCATAGGCCATCACAGTGTTTGCCCAGCACCGGTAAGCAATCGGTACTCCTCTTTTTGCAGGACTAGTTGAGATAACTTTATAAATTAATTGCCAGGCCATCTTCAGCCTCACAGGGCACTAGCAACCACTTTGCAAACTATGTGCTTTAAAATTAATATTCACTGCCATCCATCCCAAGCAGCAATAATACCTCCTACTTGACAATGCCTCCAGTAAAACCGAGCAAAAAACCTCCTTGCCAGCCACCCTCCAAAGAGCTGGAGCCCTACCTACTTCATGTTACCTCTTGAATTCTGCTCTCTCCTTGACCTTATATCAAAGCTGTACAGCACACTCAGGGTGTTACGGTCCAAAAAGGAACAATCCTGCCATCTTCTCTTAGGGGTAAGAATGCATAAACCTGAATCACAGCACTACTACATAACTCCCCAAATCCTCTCTGGCCAGGTTCCTCAGAGAAGATGCGTAGGGATGCCCAGATCAGACATCCTGGGAGCACTCAAGTGTAACTAAAGGCCTTGTTGTACAGTGCACAAGACACTGGGAAAATTGAATGTCTCTGGATATAGGCTGGGAGACTATATTTAGAGCTGGGACTTGGATACCTAAATCCCTTTATGGATCTGATGCGTGGAACTGTGGGCTGCCTTAATTTTAGTCTCAGAAGGGAAGGACAAGAGGGAGCCCTGAGGAAACCCCAGATTCCTTCTCATCAGGGTGCTTACTAAATAGACTTTAATAGATCAGGAAGTGAAAAACATGCTTGAGTCTAACTACTTCGAAATTCTTCAATATTAGAATTTTTTCTATAGCAAGCATGCTATGGAATAATAGGAAGATGACCCTATGTTTCAAAAAAAAAAAAAAAGTCATCACAAAATCCACAGCTGCTCCACATTTGTAATAAGCTGTTTAAAACAAAATAAACCAAAACATTTGCTCCAAGAAATACGCATTAGGCACTGGCAGCTTGCTTCCCTCATTCCTCTATCCCCAAGTACTTAAGCTGAAAGAAGAGGAAAACCTTGAAGTAATATATGCGTGAAAAAGTCCCAAGAACAATAGCTGCTCTCCATTTTACTCCAAAGCTGTTATTAAACTTGAGGTTCTCATGCTAGCAGAGCACAGCTTGAGCAGCATACTCTGTATTCACCACCACCATCACCAGGCTTTGACAATGCAAGCGAGTCAGATTTCCACCTACAAATTCCTGGAAGTTCATAGCCTAAAGAGCAATGTGCCAATATCTCAGTATGAGCAGGCTCAGCTGGATAGCATTATGGAAACCTCCCCTGCTAGAGCAAAATATCAATGGACTAATCCTCAGATCAGAATGGGCAGGCTCTTACTTGGAGCCAAACATCACCATTGTGTTTTAAATTGAACCTTTCTCAGTGGTCTTCAGAATGAGGTGCAGGCTAGAGTACGTATGTCATACAAACCCTACCCAATCCCTCAACTCTAGATGAGGAAAAAGGTTGGGTCAGAAAAGCAAGCATCCAGAAGCTGGCCAATGGTCTCTTTAGCCCACTATAATCATCCCCCCAAACCCATTCCACACTGTGGCAGCAGCATGCACACCATCCGAACACACCATCCAAAGCTGTTTCACTGAACCTACCACCCAGAGAAGGGGAAGACACCTCATTCTGAATGGGCTGGAAGAAGGAGATAGACAGTTCAGCATTTCACCAGCACCATAGGAAGCAACAGACTCCTTCAATGAGCTGTGAGAAGAACATGGTGGGAAAGATAAAGAGAGACCAGTGACCGCACCATGGTTCAAGACAGAGCATGAAAACAACCAACTGAGACCTGTTTGCAGGCATTAAAAGTCTCCAGGGAAGAAGGAATGAAAGACTAAGAGGGAAATCTAAGAGAAACAGAGCCCACTTAAAAGCAGCAGCTCATCACTGTAAATATATCTGTGCAGTTTATATTGTTTATTTTCAATAAACCAAACCACCTATCATTTCAGCCAGGCCTGTCATGACTATTCATTATTCAAGAAGTTTTGCCTGAAGAAGCACAAACCCATGCCACTGAACTGCTGTCCCCAGAAGCATACCAGAGCATCACTGGGAGGGCAGGAGGGGACGTGGCCTTCTGTGTGTGTTCATCGTGCACAGCGAGCGTGAAGCTTGCTGGCTTCTTCTCCAGAGCAAACGGCTTCCGTTCCAGATGGAGGGACTAATAAACAACCTCTGACAAAAGTGTTGTGTTTCTGGGACAACTGGGAAGCACATGCCAGAGACACAGAAGGGCTTGTAGTCATGCTGCTGGGCTACGCAGAGCTCTGACACACTCCCTGCCTGACAGAGGAGCCCTGGCTGCAGCAGCATTCATGTTTCATTGTTTTTCTTTTTTCTTTTCTTGGGACGTGCTGTCTGTCAGTGGATGGGGATGGGAAAACCAGTTGATAATCTATGGAGCAAACCACACAGAAGGCTGAGGAACTGGGGTGGGAAGGAAGAGCTGGAGCAGAGAACAAATGCTGCAGAAAGCAGACCACAGTGCTCTTGAATTAGCAGCACAGTCCCTGGACGTGTCGAACTGGGTAGAGGAAACTGAGTGTAGCTGTTTGCAACCAGCTTACAGCTCTTGTCCCTCCTGAAAACGGGGAGAATTATTAAAGGGTATTCCCTCCACTGGGGATGGCTCTGAGGGTCCCTTTTTCTAGGGGCTGGCTTTGGAAAATGAAAATATCCCTTGACACCCATAACTGCAAGTGTGCAGCTGTTGCTTCTAGTCCCCTGGGCACTGAGCTGGCCCATGGGAAATAAGGCCATTAAATTTTTCTCTAATTTCTCTAAGGTGGAGAAGTTTGTGAAGTACTATCTTCAAATCAAGCCTTCATCAAGAGACACAGCCAGGAAGAACAAGTAGCCCAGTCCACTGTCCAACAGAACCTACCACCAGGCAAAAACCAGAAATGGAGGAAGATCTGAGGTAGGACTAAACTACTGTGTTTAAAATCAGATTTCTAAGCATCAAGGACTCAGACAGATAAGCAGGTGAAGGAAGGTTTCAAAGACTTAGTGTGTCTCTAGGTAGATAGACACACACTTCCCCTCCAGCATGTTGCATCTCTGTGCATATACTAGATGGTCTCTTTTCTGCTGAGGACACATGAAGGAGAAGTTTCACCGGCATTCCCAGGAGACCTTAACTGAGTTATGTACCAAATACCTCTCAATTGCCATTGGATCCAGGTCCCTGATTCCCACAGATCCTTTACAAACACCCAGCCTTGTATTAATGACAGTAAGTTCAGCAGCAGGATCTCTCCATCACAGCAATACTTGCACCCAAAGATTTCCCTGAATACATACACCAGAGGCAGTACTCAAGCTAGATTGCTCTGAGTCACCTCTTCTCAAACGTGATGTTCCCAGCCCTCTGAAGGGCTAAACCCCAACAGCCAGCCAAGGTGGGACATGGACTGCATGTGACCTGGACAACCTCAGTGGTGTCAGCAGTGCCGTTCAGTTCCCACTGCTCTCAATGGTGTCAGCTTGGGACCTCCCAGGGCCAGTTTTTCAGCTTCCTCAAAGTCATTTTTTAAAAAATGTAGAAACTTGGGAATGAAATTCTTGCTCCACTAAAGATCAGAGGGTTTTTTTCTTGACAAGAGGGCTTCATTGTCTGGCTACTGCACATTCAGGTGTGAACTGATGCCAACCCTGTTCATCCAGGTTGTGTTCCTGGAAAGTTCCAGTAGAGACTTTAGGCCAGATCAGTTTGTAAAACGTCTGTCTGTGGCAGTCTGCTATAGGGGAGCACAGAAGATCTCCCAGAAAGTTTCAGATGTGAGGAAGCATCCAGGTGCATCACTGACCACAGCAAAAGTGATGTTAATGCAGGTACACAGGAAACTTTCAACTCGATTGTTCGGTACTTTCAAGGTTGGGCTCAGAAGGATGTTTGTACTCGTACAGCCTTCACTGTCAAACCAAGAAATGCATGCTTGGTATCTGCAACGAATCTGTTATTTGTAATAGGCAAGTAGAAGTATTTTAAATTTGTAACAAGAATAAAACTATCCATCAGCATTCCTGCACAATGACAAAGGGGATGTCTCCCCTCCTCTCACTCTGTGGGTTCTCTCAGAGCGAGAGATGCAACCAGCTGTTGGAAACAGGCTGTTGACAATACTGCAGAGTAAGATATAGGGTATTATGAGTCAATTAAAAATTTATTAAGAGAGAGTGAACAGGAGGTACTGATCTTCTGAATCCATCTGTTTCACCCTTCTTGTGGGACAAGTAAACTGAAACTTTCAGATCTTCCACAGGGAGACCAGAAACAAACAATCCAAACAAACGTGAGGACTCAGTGCTTAAGAAAAACACTTCTTTTTGCTAGCTGTGCTCCAACACCCCACTCACATCACATACTTGCACATGATACACTTCATTGTTAAACACACCCAGGAAAATAAGACCAGCACAGAAAAGCTAATTGCAGTCTGTGTTCATTCTAAAGAGGTCACGAGAGACCTGAACTGTCTGAAGCCAAGGTATGGATAATAAAAATCAGCTGCCAGAACCAGGCTGTAATTCACCTAAGAGCTCTGATAGAGCCCAAACATGAAAATCGTAAGTGCTGCGCAGATTGGATCAAAAAAATCTAAAGTGCAAAATGCAACATCTGAAGAGAGCTTCAGGAGAAATCCTGGGCATTACAAGTAGTTTATGCCAAGCTAGACAGGAGGAACTGCAAGAGAGCAGAGTGGAAGATGCAGGGAGAAGTGCAATGTATTGCATTATATTTTCAAAATAACTTTTGACAAGATCCCTCAAAGGCTTTTAAATTAACTAAATTAAGGTTCTCACAAAAGGGAGGAGACGGTAGAAAACGAAGTGTGAAAAAATAAGTGGTTTTTGCAACGGTGATCAACCAAGTACTACTAGGATGCTGTTCTTCAACATGCACAGGAAAAGTCTGGAGAAGGTATGAACAGAAAGGGGACAAAGAGCTAAAACGTATAGGACAGTCACAACCAAAAACAACTATGAAGGGATACAAAAGCCAGTCGTTACTCCATACAGTCCAAGGCCTAAGTGACCTGCAGCAGCAGGATCAGGCAATGGGTTTAACACTGCAAAAGGAAACATCTTTTCCTCTCAGCACACAGTTAAACAGCAGAACTCATTGCCACAGGACTTTGTGGGAGTCAAGAATATAAGAGGGCTCAAAAAGAATTAGACTCACTTGAAGACAATAGATCTAACAATGGCTTTTAAACACTGGATCTGATGGAAACTTCCAGGCCTGGACAACCCCCAAAATCCTGATGCTGGAAGCTGGAAGCTGAGCTGGAAGCTCAGGGATGCAGCAGTCTTAGGTATGTCTCTGCTCCTAGTATATAGGGCTTCAGATGCTGGCTTGAGTGGCCTTGATATGGCCACACAGGACAGTTATGTATCAAACAGGCTGATTATCTCTGCAGCAACCAAGTCCATCTTTTCAGTTTGTTCCCCCTTTTGAAACCACTTCTGAATGTGCCCTTATTATCGAGGGAGACTGGGAGAGGCTCAAGACAAGCAAAAGCAAAATTGACCAAGGCCACCCTTCCTAGGGTATATTTATTAACAATATGGAAAGGTAAAGTCAGTCTCCCTATCAAGACCATAAGCAGCAGGGATCGAGTTTAGTCTTAGCTAAAAGGCCCAAAGGTTCTTCCTTGCTAGATTGTGGAAACAGTAGCTGGATGCCATAGCACTCCTGTCCAGCCTCCATTGGAGAGGGGAAGAGCTGTGGGTGGCAGGGGCAGCAGAACAGGATCAGGTACTATTGACTAAGGTGTTTTTTGATTCAGAGTCCAGGCAAGCATGCATTGGGTTTGCATGCATCCCTCCTCTTGTTACTACTGCTCTAGCTTTACACCAACTGCTCTCACTACTCCATTGCTCCAGCTGAGCTCTGACATCAGGAGAGGACTCTGTATGTCTTCCCTGATGACTGTGCAGCACCTAGCACAGCAAAATCCTAAGCAGGAGGACCTTCAGCTTGCTGTTAGTCATATCTATTCAGGAGACCCTAGCGCAGGTCAATACTTCTGCTGATGGAGAAGATGATGTGGAGAGGCTCAGAGTTGACTTTGAGAGCAGTCCCCCTCCACCTCAACAATCAGGCAGGAGCTCCAAGTGCCTGTGCCCTGCCACCCTAACCCTAGCTTGAAGGTGAAAATCCCGGGAGCTCTCCTTGCAACAGGAGAAAGCAGAGCAATCTTTTCATCCAGCATCTCACAAAAGCTTGTTCCGCAGGAAACTCTGCCAGGCTTTCTGCAATATTTCCTACAGCGAGGCCTGTCCCCTTGCTTTCCCCACCAAGGAACATTTTGTTCGAAGACAGCTAATGACCCATTTACATTCGCCTATAAAATGATATTGGGTTATTTCTCCCCTCCTCTTCCACCATTTGGCTGCCTCTGGTTTGCAGAGCTTGTCAGGGCTAATTACATTGGCTTTTTCATTGAGGGAGTTTTTCCTCTTTGCATGTGTTTTCTGTTCTGAGCATAGCACAGTTTCAACAGGTTTTTGATGCTGTTGTTGTTGTTGTTCTTGACAAGAGCTGCTGTTATGAAATGCATCCTCATGGCCCTGCCAAGGCCCCAGCCAGCTGAGAACCAGCTCTATTTGACGCAGGAGCAAATTGAGACCATTTGGTACTTGGGGCACTGGACATCTTATTCAATCTGCAAGGGAGCTGGGAAAAGGGTTGAGTTTCTCCTCCCTCCCCTTCCCTTTCAATACACTCATTTGTTCCTGAAAAAGCAGTCTGTTTCTTTTCCAGTCTTCCCTTTTCCCTAATTTTATCCATATGCAGTCCAAGATGGACATGGAAAATTACCTGTCCATTACTCTCAGCAGATGCCTGCCATCGGTTAGGTCAATAAGTTAGCCTTGGGGACGCAAGCTGTCCCTTGCACCCTTTTTCCAGGGGCAAAGCTACTCAGATGGCAGCGAAACCAGAGCAGCCCAGGGCCAAGTCTCAGAGCCAACACAGGGCAGAGAACCACAGCTGATCATGGAGCCAAACTCTGCAGGAGAGCACCCTCTCTTCCAGCACACTGGGGGCTTTGAGGTCTAGGGGAGGAGACTGCAGATCCCCCACCAAGCAAGACCTTCTCCCTCACAGAGAAAGAGTGCCTCAGCCTTAAGGGGGCCCATGTCAAGATCACAGCTGTTGTGTGCGGTCTGGGCAATGGTTTCTCTTCCCCACTCTGCTCCCCAATGTAGCAGCTCATTTATCAGGGAAACACGCCAGCAAGCCAAGATGGTGGGAGAGTTGGAGCGCAGCTGTGCTCCCAGCAGCCTTCCGCTCAGACGGGACTTACCGTGCACCATCCCAACACCAGCTTGGCAGGATCGAGGCTAGATGGGACCATCCACTCTTGCATCTAGTGCACGCCACACAGACAAGCCCAGAGATTTTTCACTCAGGTCAACGTTTCCATCCTGGAAAAGATAAAAGGGATGCCCTGGGTGGAGAACAGTGCCAGCTCAAGCACAGTGGGAGGGAGATGACCACACAAGCCACCCCACAAGCTGCAGAAGGTGACAGGTCAAGCAATGTAGCTTCCTTCCTACGCTGGCACAAGAGATGGGAGAAAAACCTCCTCTCCAGGGCCTGCCCATGGGAAGCGTTTCAGGGCATTGGCTGCCCCAGAAGAGTTGCTGTTCCCTGTTGGACTCCCTCACAGTCAGCTTGGACCACAATGTCTTTGTCCAGGCTTCAGAGGTGTGGAGGTCTGGGCTGCTCCTTGAGGCTTGGACTCCATGGACTGACCCCAGGGAGCCCTTGCACCCCACCAAGAGTCCAGCCACCATTTTAATTAATGGGGACGACCTGCTTTACCACACATCCAGTCCCACCAATCCCAAGAAAGGAAAACCAAAATATTTCAATGGGAGGTTGAACTATCTAACCCAAGGCTTTGGCAT